TAAGCAAATATCACACCATGGCCATTGCATTTTCATGATGGATAAATATTAAATGAAGGGAAAAAGTACTCATGAAACTTTTGACTAAAATGAAAGTGAACTAATCTGACAATCAAAATAGAAGGTCTAGTTGCATACAATACATCACTGTTATCTTTTTGCTACCATCTTGCTTTTGAAATGTTCTGTATCTGTATCTGTATCTGTATAGCCGGTATAACCGCCTTTAACCGTTGTATACATTATGCTAACGCCCTAATTATAATGTTACCTGTTTTGGGCCTGCTGTCTTCAGGGATCACTAAATCTACGGGCAGTGCTTGCTCGTTTGTTTTGGTGCTATTTTGAAATGCAAGATCAGTAATGTTTAATGTCAATATCAGTAATGTTTTAAGGATAGCATCATTATAACCCTAAATTGTTCTTGCCCATCATAGGAGACCTATTCTATGACTCTTTCCAGGAATCCTTAAAGGGAAAATGTCTGTATCATAAAGACGTGCACAGTACTAAGGCTAATACACAAGAAAAATGAACGCCACAACCTAGACAACTGGAGGCCAATCAGCCTTGTTAACACTGAATATAAAATCTTTGCCTTTGTTTTCGCCAACAGACTAAAGGAAGTTCTACACAAATTAATCGACAATGACCAAACTGTCTATATCAAGGGTAGATTCATTGGACAAATGTAAGACTTACTAATGATGTTATTGGGTATGCTATAACCCAAAACATACCAGGAGCTGTGATCTTCCTGGACTTAACCAAAGCCTTTGACACCTTGAATAGAACTTTTATGTGGAAAGGTTTGAAAAAAAAAATCAATTTTGGCCCCTTTTTTTATTCACGCCATGCAATGCATGTATAATGACATAAGCAGCACCATCTGTAATAGAGGATGGTTGTCTGATTTCTTCCCCCTAAAGAAAGGTATACGGCAAGGTTATCCCATGTCTGCTCTTCTCGTTATCCTTACAGTAGAAATCATGGCTGTTAAGATAAGAAGCTCTCAGGACATGGAGGGAATTAAAGTCGACGTCAGAACAGACCCAGATAATGAGGCAGAAATCAAAATATTACAAGTAGCTGATGACACTACCCTATTAGTCTCTGACGACACATCTATGGAAAATACTTTTAGACATATACAGGATTTTTGTAACGTACCAAGCCTAAAACTGAATATTATAAGTAAATGCGAAGGTTTATGGATTGGAATATACATAGATAGACAAGACAAGCCCCTATGTATCTCTTGAACAAAAACCCCTATCAAGTCCCTTGATATTTACTTTTCCAACAGAAACCTACACCATGAATGTGAACTGCTGAACTGGGAAAAAAAGATAGAACGACTGAAATTAAAAATACACTACATGTCTGGAAAGATAGCGACCTAGCTCTCTATGGAAAAGTCACAGTACTAAAATTCCTTGCTCTCTCCCAAGTAATCTACAACATGTCAATGATTGTTACCCCATCGTGGGTTATAGAAACTGTAAGGAAAGAAATGTTTATTTTTTTGTGGAAAGGAAAGGAAAAGAAGACAGGATTAAAAGAGGTGTCATTTGTCAACCAATTGAACTTGGTGGCCTAGGCCTGACAAATTTAGAACATCAGAAACTACTTGCATCACTACTTGCATATTGGGTACAAAGACTAGTATTACGTTAAAAAAACAATAAATTAAAACCTGGCTTCAGTGCACATTGGGCCGGTGGCGCCGGTTTTCAGTGCACAGTGAATCAGTCATATCAATTAAAAAAGGTAAATATCTTAAATTACATTTTATTTACTTGTAAAAAACTTAAAAATCAGTATTTTGTCTAAACTACAGGTTTAGACAGCATAGAGATATAATATACTCTGGTCATTTATTGTGTTTTACTTAAAAACGTGTCAAATAGTAAACTTTACCTTAAAACAGATGGAGAGGAGAAAGGGTTGGGACTGCCGAGATCTAGCACAGCGAAGACTGGCCTGTGATCAATGACCTGGTCAGATGGAGTCTTACACGCCTCTGCTTTGGCCCTGTCTTTGTCCTGTGTTGTATACACGCTTCCAACGTCATCACCCAAGGACAGGTGTTGGGCATGAAGGATATTAATCAAATCAGACGTGAATATGAAGTAGTCGATTGTTTCCCATCCATACGACGTGGGGATTGCCAGTCCAGGGTAACGGTCGATGTTGTCGCATGCCTTGTCAAGTCTGAAGTTGAAATCCCCACCGATGACAAGAGCTTGCGCTTTTTGGCCGTCATTTGTAACTGTCTGTGTTTTCAAAAAGGCAAGAAGATCTTGGAATATGCGCTGTTTTTCTGCTTCAGAACATTTGTGTGGTCCGTGCCAGGAGATGGCAATAAAGTTTGACACATTTGATGCCTCCTCCTCTGCGATGTCTCTAGTTACTGGAAGCTCGGTAGGTTGGTGCTTGATTGACATTTCAGATATGCATACCCGTCCGCGATGTTGGATTAGATTTGGGTACTTGTCTCCAATCAGCTTGTACGAGTCTAAACGTTTTAGTTCAAACAGTTCGCTATTCCAGATTATCCCAGCTTCGTTGATTACTCCTGTGTAGCAAAACGTTTCACCTAGCTGAAGGTGTTCTACTGGATCACGCCAAGGACACTCTTGCACAAAAATGACTGATAAACGTGCCTGTTCTTGAAGTTGTTTGAGTAGAAGTTTGCGTTTAGCTGCATTACCAGTGCCTGTTGTGTCTCCCTTAAAGTTGACGGAAGCAATGCCGTACCTGTAGGGATGTCGCCCATGTTCCGTGATGGCATTTCGCATCAAAGCCTCGATCAACTCTTGATAATCATCCTCACTACTCTCACTTGCTCGTTTCTTTCTACGTTGCGAGACAGCCTGTAATGTATCGCGGGAGATTTGCTCAGGCTGGTAGACTGGATTTAGTTGCAGTGCCATTTTTAATTACAGAAAGTGTGGCGGACAGAGATATAGTGTTCAACAACCTTGTCACTGGATAAACAGATCGGGTCCCATGGTTGTACTGCTAAACTCTGATCCACAAGACACTGGTGTAGTCTTCTGAAGACGGCCTGCAACGTTTTGAAAGAATTGGAGTATATCTACGATCTTTTCTGTCACGACCAGTGGAGGGATAGCTCTTTCGTGAGCTAAACTGGTTCGGGATCACTTTCGCTTTCAACCTATATAGGCTAATTAGCTAATTAAGCAGAGGCAGTGCCTGTACTTAATATACTAGTATACTACATGCAAATTTTCACTGACTGAGAGGTGACATTCAACCATGTCATTGTTGTAGTCTAACGCCAATTTTGTTGGCAAGAAAGAAGAATTAAAGCTCACCTGTCGCAAAAAAATGGCGACGCTGACAACACCAGCAAAACGAAGCTTAGCGTTGGTTTCGATGCCTTCCGGGGTACACACCCCGATTCTTCCGCGTCACTGAGGTCCAAAAAGTAGTGCGTGGTAAATCTGAAGTGAATAATTTGCTGGGCTATTGTTTGGGGCTATCGCTTGAGATGTAAAAATTATCTGATGTATCTATGGGCATTCAAATGTTTTATTTTGGGTACAAATTGAGTTGAGAAGGCGAACTTCAATTCCGTCAGGTATCCTTGCGCCTTCAACTGCGCTCAGCAGCAGCAGATTGACCTCGAATTTGCTATGCTTCGTGAAGCACACAACAGTGTCTCCATTACAGAAAGTTATTAATAATTCAGCACCCGTCTACATGTACACAAAAGAATGGTCACAAGGTGTTTTCACAACTGACAGGAATGCTTTGTCAGACTGTTGCTTTACCACTCACTCAACCAAGCTAACACCTGTTCACAAATTCAGCCTTCCTGTTCACAAAGTCAGCTTTCCAGTCCTTCCTGTCAACAAGCCTTCTTATGCACTATCAACATTATGTGCTGTCAGTAGCTATTGCCGATTTTCTTTGCATAGTATCCAACACCAAGACACTGTTTGTAACACAATTTGATGCTCCAAGTACGCTGCTCGGTTGTTTACAAAGGCTACGGTCGGTGGCAATGAATACCTGGCTCAGAAATTGACGGTAAAATTAAACTTCGTGTCTTAAGGATTTTTCGATCTATATCTAAAAATATTTCTACGGCCGAAATAAGGTGTAAAAATCATTTTTCCACTCTCAAAGACCTGTAATTTAAAATTGTCACCAACTTATAGAATACCCTAAGGCGAAAAGTCTACAGATATCAGTTGCTGATAATTTAAGCCCCCAGGTAGATAATTATAACGCTTTGTGGGAGTTCTAAACTGTATGTTTGAACACATGGCATGGCACATGGCACATGGAATAGTAACTGATATCGATGTTAACATATCTTTCAATATAATGGCACTAAACATGACGCCAATCATTACATGTTACATTTCCCAAACAAAAGACCAGCTTTGAGTCAAAGCAGTGTCAAAAGCAAAGACAACTCGGCAAGACAACCAATGGGGTGTAACTTTAATACTAGTACATGAATATCAGTGATCTTTACTTGAACTCTAGTTATTGATATTTTGGTGATGGTCGCTATGATTAGTGTTTGCGAAAAATACACCTTTGCTTGCGGAACCCCAGCCTGACTTTATTTAGTACTGCAGCAGAAATGACATTACATGGTACTTGTATCTTCAAACTTTATTGAAATCAACAGAACAACCATGTACATGGCATTGTATATGCCCGAATGGGGCTGAATTTCACAGGTTACACTATGACTGATACTAATATGAGTTATAAATGAGTGAAAACACATCGCATTGAAATGAAACCACACCACATTACTGATACTAATTTCAGTTTTATAAACATTAAAAAGACACGCCACACTGACAGATATTGTCAGTTATGAATCATTAAAAAACGTCACATCATGTGTCAGATACTAATGTCAGCCATAAAACATTAAAGAAACGACACCATACTGACTGATACTTACGTTACATGTAGTTATAAATTGTTAAGAATACACATCACCCTGTGACTGATACTAACGTCACTTATAAAACACAAAAAGGCACACTAATTTCTAGACAATTATAGTGGCTACAAGTAGTACTACATGTATTCATGTGAAGCTCTTTTGATTCGGCTTTGACCTTTTCTTTATCAACAATCCTTGATTTGTAGATTTCGAGGTCTGCTCACTTGTTTTTTGTCTATTTTCTGTTTCTTTTGGTGGTCATCTGGCAAGTGCCTCCCACAATTGGGGTTGTTCTGTTGCGCTTTGACGGTCCTGCTGTTCAGCAAATGTGGATTTTTACATGCCTTCTTTAGAGGGGATATTTCTTATTTATCTATGAGTATTTCTATGATTCTTTAGAGATCCCTTCCAAGCTGTCCTAAAGCCACACACATCACATACGTACGATTTCTCTTCAGCGTGCCTCCCTATAATGTGTTGATGAAGATTACCTCTGGAGCGTCCCGTGTAGCCACACCCTTCCACGGGACAGGGGAAGTAATTGGGACTGTTGGCACGTGATATCTCAGTGATACTATACTGAATGATGGGGTGCTCACGGTCCAAATTAGACATTCCCGTAGGATCCGGAGCGCTTGACCCTGCACCAAGACCAGTTCCAGGCTCTTGATCTTGCTCGACAGTATTCTCTGCTGCCTCTTCACCTCTGTTGCTTCTCTTGGAACTCGGTTCAATGCTTTTATCTTGAGCTTGTTTCCTCTTCTGCTTTGCTTCAGTGGGTTCTGCATTATCCGTTTCCTCTTCTTCAGCAGCAGCTGTTGCCATTGCTCCAGATGGTTTCTCCTGTACTGGCGCGGCCTGGCTTGTTTCCTCTGCTCCGGTAGGTACTTCCTGCGTTGGGGTATTTCTTGTGTTGTTTCCTACATTCAGTGAACTTTCTTCCCGGCTAAAGTACTCCTTCCCTACCTCATCACAGAGACGTTTCATGAGACCTACTCGGCTGTCCCCTGGAGCGGGAGTTATGCCCCTCCGGTCCAGCTCGTAAAGTAGTTCGCCCGTGTTCAGCCTAGGCAGCACAGCTAAGGACACCTCTCGAGACAGAACCGACTCAGTCACTGTACTCTGCCTACAAGGGAGCATAATCAGTTATTACCTTCGCCAAGAAGGTTGTTACCTCCGTGAAAAATGGAGGTATTGTTTTTGGTCGGTGTGTGTCCGTGCGTGTGTGTGTGTGTGTGTGTGTGCATCTGTCTCTCTGTGCCCGTGTGTGTGAATGTATGTGGTTTAGCACAATAACTCAAGAAACTTTGAATGGATTGTCATGAAACTTGGTAGGTGGGTAGGCCTTGATGAGACCTAGCAATGTTTGGGTCCCCCAGCGGCTTGTTGTGGTAATGTAGCGTATCTTTTGTTTTTGATATCTCGTGGTATGATAGGGCCACGAATTTTATATGTTATGTAATGCCCTGCTTCTTCCCCAGTGTTCCAGCTCATAAACGTTTTTGAAAATGCATTTTATTTTTCAAGCTAGCTATCTAATTCGTATCAATTTTACAGTTTCACTACACATAATTTGGGTTGGTGTTTTCCCAGTAAAATGCATCCCTAAACGTATAAGGTATCACGTATTTTTTACTTTGCTTTCTGCATTTCCTGTATTCTCTAGTCTTACCCTATTTTATCCAAGAGCAGCCTCATCATTTCTGTTGAACTG